TCTGGGGCAGTGGAGGGACTCAGAGCACAAATGTGGGCAGAAAGCAGACCCCTACTCACTGCTGTTCCAGCTGTCACAGCCCTAGGGTGGCCTCATACAAACAGGCCTTTGGGGCAGGAGACATCATTGCAGCCAAACTGTGCCCCACCTGCAGCATCACCCGTGCTCTCCACCCCACCCCTGCCTGCCTGCTCTGGTCACAGGGCCTGGATGCAGGTCCACCCATCAGGAGAGGCTCCTCCCAGCAACTCCCCATTGCACCCCACCCCAGGACAGCTGAGAGTAGTGGAGTGCCAAATGCTGGTCATGGGAAGAAAGGGCACTCATGCCTCAGTGCTGAATTCCCTGCAGAAAGGGTCCCAGGTGGAGTGGACCCAGTGAGGCCACTGCCCAGGCATCCTCTCCCCAAGGAGTTAAGATCCCAGGGAAAGTAAAGTGTAGCTTCAACCTGCAGGACTGGAAAGGTCTTATATCTCATTTCTCTCCATCCCAGTATCTTTAACTCAATTCTGGCTTACCATTACCTATGCCATGAAGAGCCCACCTGGAAATATACTGGCTGTGAGACTTGAACCCCTACTGCCATTCTTGCTCGTCCTAGTTGGGCCGACTATTGCACCCACACGTCTCCCTTTGCGGCACAGTTCTGCAGTGTCAACAGCCACGTCTTTAAATGCACACTGGTCACAGCACTGCTCTGTCCTAGTCATTCTGAAGGGCTTTCTCCACTTGGAGACACATCTTACCCAAGAAGTTGGCCTGGGGTTTTACATCAAGTGAGGTGTTATTGTTTATTGGAGCCTAAATCAAGGATAATGTTAAACATCTCTTCTGTGTTCAAAGGGGTGTCCAACCACCCCTTTGTCAAGGAGCAAGCCCCTGGGTCCAGCCTTTCATACAATGCATCCAACAGAGGCCCCACAAGAAAGCAGTATCTGCCTTTTACAATGTTAACAATTCCAATTCGTCATGATGGGTGAGGTTCATAAGCTTCACTGTCCCTCCCTGGGTGGGAAATACCACTGCACCAACGCCAACTTCAAGAGTATCAAAAGAGACCCATACCCCAGGGCCTAAGGCTGCCAGGACACAACGAAGTTGGCCAGTGAAGTCCTCAGTTTTAAAATAAGAGTGGACATCCCCCAGAAGGACCAAGGACACAAGGTTTAAACTGGACAAAGACCACAGGACACATAGGGCCCACTTAATAGACTTGGCCACACTGTAAAGCACCTCTGGTAGGTGTTAATGGCAAACAGCCACAAGAGGCATGAGCATGTGAGTGTCCTCTCCAGGTAGGTATGAACTTGCTCCTCCCCTGCTGGGGGGGTGGGGTGAGGCTCCAGTTCCTCAGAGTCTTGGTGGTCTGTCTCCCTGGGACATGCCATCACAGGTAGGACCATACATACACTTTCAAAACCCTGACCACAAACTGAAAACTTCTCCCCTACTTAGGATATCTACAGAGGCAGCCCATTTATGAGACAAACTCCCAAATGGCACTAACCTATTTGCATTCCTGAAAGCATCCTTTAATTTAAAGCTACTGCAGATGTCCACAATTCCACCCCAATGGGAGATGCCAGGAGCATATGGACGAGATAGTTTTCTACGACGATGGCAGTGGGGCCAAGTCCTTCCTGTACACTAGACTGGACATGCATGCTATGGGACTGGCCTTTCCCAGGCTGACCAAAGACAGCCTTACCAAAGCCTAGAGACCCGCCTGACCACGTTGTGTCAGAGCAAAGGAATCTGGTGTTCTTCCTTTCTCTCTCCCCCAAAAGGCAAAAAAAAATCTTACCTACTCCTGACCACAGGACAAAAGTACACAAGGCCTTCAGAAGGCAGAGCACCCAGCATGGGCCTCTCCTAGCCCAGCTGCCCCACTAGCACTGCGTCAGATACACCACGGTGCCAGTGGCCAACAGTGGCCCAAAGTTCACGACAGAGCAAGTATGACAGTGGGGTTGGACCCAGAGTGCCACTCCAACACCCTAGAGCCAACAGGAACCCAAACTGCTCCCAGGACAGGGCTGGCGCATACACGGTCCTGCCCTCTGTGCAGGTTTCAAATGTGTTGTTTATTCACTATTTTTGATGACTATAAATAAGTGTTTCCACTATGGAAAAGAAAGTTAGCACAGTACATTTTCATGACTGGGGAATGGATTTTCTGAAGTTGTCTTCAATAGGGCAAAAACTTAGAAAAAAACACCTGAATGTTAGAATTCAGTTCTTTATATAAAGTCCCTTGTAAAAACAAAACAGAATAAAAACAAACCAAAAAGCAGGGGCAGGGCAAAATTTTAAAAAAGGAAAAGAAAGGAAGAAAAAGAAAACAAGGGCAGAGGACTTATTGCTTCTCCTCAGCTTTCTCCTTGGTCTCCTTATCTTCGGACTCCTTGCTCTCCTCCTTGACAGAAAGAGCTTCTAGCTTTTCGGCCATTTTCTCGGCATTATCGTTTTTGCCTGATCCTGCTAAAAACACAGGAGACCACAGTAAGGAAACAGAGAAGCACTGCTCTCCCCAGCCCATGCACCTGCCTTGTATGAGCCTGGGACACAGTCCCCACAGGACAGGCCATTATTCTCCTGCATGCCTTAAGACTCATCCAAATAAACACACACTCACGCCTAGTGCCTTGGTGAGTCTGCTCAGTTATGTCTGATTACTTACTATGGTAGCCATCAACAGGCCCTGACTGAGCAGGCAACCATGAGGACCTCTTGAAAGCCCATTCAACCTCTGTAGGGTTCTAGTCAGACACCGGGACTTGACCACCTGCCTAAGTGCTCACTAGACTAGGCCAGTGAGCACACACTTGAGGCCTGGATGGCCAGCTCACTCCCCAGTAGCATCCTATGTCTCTGGGCAGCTGCATCACCCTTAACAAGTCAAGGTAGTCACAGCACCCCAGAAATTTCTGTGGCAGACGGAAAAAGCACCCGCCTGGGACGGCAGCCGGGTACAGAGTGAGTCTGCAAGGAGGTACCCCACCCACAAGCACTACATTACCTTTCTTTTCTCTCTCTTCGATCTCTTTCCTGCATTCTTCGAACTTTGTCTTGAATTTCTGTGCATCTGCAGAAAAAAAAAAGACTTCCTCAGAGCCCTAAGCAATGAAGGGGACATGTCCAGTGGGAATGAAGAGCCAAGATTCACAAAGGGGCCATCCACTGGTCATTTCTGACCTAAGGATGAGCTGAGCTGTCTAAGATGGCCCGGGCCCACATTTGCGCAGACTGTGCAGTGAATGTTTCCCGGGTCTTTCCTGAGGCTGGTGGTTATGCTGGGCCCTCTTCTTCCATGATTTTGTAACAATTTGAGCACAGCAGTAAAATATGATGGCCTCAGGCAATCAAGAGCCTCCTCACCAGGCACTCTGCTCTCCACTCATGTTGGAAGTAGCCTCTGGACAGGCCCCATTCCCAGAGCATAGAAGAGGTCCACTCAGTACTGGATGGTTAGCTCCTGGGTCACTAAACCCCGGCACTCACCCAGTTCTTCCAGGGCCCACAGGGCACAGCTTTTGACAATCTGGGCCAGAAAGAAACCAAAGCAGGGGAGAGGTCAGCCTGGGCCCATGGATTTCAGCAGGCAATGGTGAGTGGACATGCTTGCCCTGGGAAAACCAACTGGCACAGCCTTTGAAGTTAAGAGGGAAATGTACTACTCGTGGACTCAGTCTGGGAGTGGCCTCAAGGGCATGTGGCACTTGGACCCCTCCCTTGAGGGGGCCACCAGACATCAGGGCAGAAACAGTCCCCACCATAGCTTCCTAATTACTGTCAATTCTCCCTATAAAGCAAAAGAATTTCTGCAACACTATAAAACAGGCAACTGCAGTCAGGCAGGTACAGAGGCCCGCCAGTCCACCCTTCTGCTTACTTTCAGCATTGAGGAAGCGGATGGCCAGCAGCTCCGGCTTGGGGCGCTCGTCAGCAAAGTCGGCGTGGGTGTTCCAGACCCAGGCGCGGTCACTGCCTGCATTTGGCTTCAGCTCCATCATCGGCGTGACTGGGAGAGAAGCCCCATGAGGACAATGCCCACCGCTGCATGGCCACCTCGCCACAGAAAGCCCTGGTCGCCAACCCAAGGTCCCACTATGCGCAAAACAGGGATGATTTGAGGTGCACCAAAGTCTCGTAAGCTCTAATTTTACTCAAACCTCTTTTAAAATGCCCCATGTTCACTTAAAACCAGGATTGTACTACATCTGGGAACAGGGGGGCATGCTCCCTGACCATGGAGACACCTTGGCGAGGGTCTCCAATCCCAGTGCAGACAAAGGCTCCAAAGTCAATGTGGCCACTCACACCCAGCCCGTTGGTGCAGCCCCTGGGCCCGGAAAAGACACAGACATAAAGTCAAGCAGACCTAGCTCTTTCTGTGAAGAGTGTCCATTACATGGCTATGGCAATGTTCAGCCACACCATCAGAGACCTGGCCCATTGAGAGGTAGGGGTCAGCAGAAAGCCAGAGGCTGGGAAGTGGATTATCCAGAAAGGCATACAATCAGACCGGTGCAACCACTCTCAGTCTTACATTATCCAGGGAGACCAGCAGGTGTGGGGTGGACGAGGCCATCAGAAGTAAGCACCAATGGCCCTGTGACATGCACAAATAGCACAGAAGAGAGCCATGAACTGGAATAAGCACACCTACCCCATATCCTCAGGCTCCACAAAGACCCAAGGGGGACAAGACTGAGTAGCACCCCAAAGAACAGAAGCACCCCCAAGTACCATGCCCAGCAGCATACCCATGGCAGAGGTCTCAGGAGATGTGGGATGGCTCATGCCCAGCCTCAGGCAACACACCACCATCTGAACCAGAAGCAATTACCCAACATCCTCTCAGATGCCCAGGAAGCCCATTGTATAGGGCACATACAGGTGACACGACCTCATCCCACCACCAAATACCTGGTCCACCAAGGGCCTATGGTGTATACCAGGCCTAGGACCCACTTACAACTCACACAGAAGTGACCTAGTAACCTGGCAAGGCTCTAAGAAAAATATGGGTGTCAAGAAGACCCCAAGGAAGGGATTCATATTGGGCTGGAGTGCAAGGACCAGGACAGAGCAGACTGGCTGGGATGTGGAGACTGGCACGTGAAGGCCAAGTGGCGCAGAGATGATTATGATACAGGAAGGCTCCTCCCACTTTCAGGGCCTCTGCAAGCCCATCTATCCTTCCACATCACTCTCAAAGGCTATTCCACTGCAGTTCCTACCAGTGGTCACTTCATGTGCCCAGACAAGGGTCCCTACCCTGTCAGACACACATTACACCCAGAAATGCAGACATGGCCTTGGATTAAGAATGGAGCCCGAGACATGCTGGCTTCCAAAGACATACTCAGAGAACTGAAGAACAGCCTGGCAGTCAAGAGATTGATGTGGCCCAGAACTTACTGTTACCTCTTCATAGGCCAGGCCTCACGTTGCTTTTCCTGGACCCACCCCACTATACACTGAGCCCAGGACTGATGCTTCAAACCTGCCCCACCCACTCCCTGTGCAGCTTCACAGGACCCTAAGAATGAGGCAGCCACTTTCTCCCCATCCCATTCCCATCCTCCTCAGGGAAAGCCTGTGGGGACAGAGCACACCAAAGAGTGAGAAGGATGCTACCCAAGCACCTCCCTGGCAGAGGCACATGAGCATGCACACAAACACTCACATGCCCTCAGGCTACACCTGGTTCTCCAGCAGGCACTTGGGTTCCAAGCCCACACTGGGGCTCTGCTTCCACCCTGCCTGGTCCCACCTGCCCAGACTCCACAACCCTGTGGGCAATAAGCTTCTCTACAGGTCTGCTCTGAGTTCAGAAGCATATTGGAAAACCTAATCTCCTACTTTAAATTCAAAAAACACACTGTGAACATGCACTCCACACAATTGTGTACTCCCAGGATCCCAGCACAGCTCTGAAAGCAGGCGGCCCCAAAATCCAAAGCTGTCCCAATGCAGAGTGCCAGGGCTCAGAAAGAAAACACACCCGAGAGACCACCTACTATAGTGGTTGGCGCATATCTTCAGGGTCTTGTCCCTCCTCATGAGGAGGCGGATGGTCCCTTTCTCCTTATGCTTCAGGAGCTTGACATCGCCAGTTCCTCGTTCCTTCCATTCTGGGAGATCATTTTCTGAAGCAAATCGGAATAGCTTTGCTCGCCTTCAAAAAAAGTTATTAAGTGAGAGCTTAGACACACACAGAAAGGATAACAGATAAGTCAAGTACTTGCTTGGAAAGAACACTTGTTTTCTGGGCATTAAACAAACAGCTATACCTGGTGTCTCAACAAACACGCTTTCCTTCCTTTTACTCTAAAAACTACGAGCCAAATTGTCACCAACAAAACAGCCCAACAAATTCCAAGTTGTAAGTTGATGAAAAGAAAGAAAAAAAAGTTTCCACATTGACATTTTCTAACAAAGACTCGGCCACTCAGCAAAGTAGCCCACCCAATGCTGCTAGGTGTGTCTGCCATCATGATGCAGGGGCTTCCTGGTGCCTCACGGAGCCACAGCACGGAAGCAAGTGGAGGACAAGAACCCTTTCATAGGGATAACTCTTCCCTCAGTTATAAGAAGCCTCCTGGCTCCCAACCCAGAGAGGGGGCTGCAGGCCTCTGCTCAGAAATTCCCTGCCTTCCTTCCCAGAAGGAACCAGGCAAGGCCCCCATCCCAGCAGTCCTGCTCTAGGCCTTAGACCAACACTTTCTCCCCACCATCAACTATGCTTGTCCTTTTACTTCTCCATAGGACCCCAGCTCTGCTGGTCCCTTTTCTGCAGAACATTCTGCTCTCTCCCAAAGTCAACTGTGTTCAGGAAAGAATGTTCTAATAAGGATGCCCCTAGAGCTTTGACCTAGAACCCAAGGGCCCAGATATAAAGGCCCAAATTGCTGGCCTCATTTCCCTCAGGAAGGGCCTATGTCTAGAACACATCCCTGGCGTGGACAAGAAGATGATAGCAATAGCATCACCAGCAATCCTCACTCTTGGGAGGAGCCAGCCCCTGGCTACAGCATCATTTCTGGGCAGAGCAGCGACCTGGAGAACTAGTGTCTTCAGGGAGACATCCACCACTCTGAGACCAAAAGTTACATCTTTCCTTTCCCAGGCCCTTGGGGATGGTGGTGACTGCCTCTGCTCCTCTCCCCCTACCCACAGCAAAGCACTCAAACCTTAACCTGGAATCCTGGATAGATATGAAGGATGTTGAGGAAGTTCCATAAGCTTGGTCAGGGGAAAACTATAACCTATTCCTATGGACTTGTAACAAACCTAGCATTTTCGTGCAATTCTGAACAAAGGCAATAGGCCATAGGCTGGGCAGTATTGTGACTTTGTTGCAGACATATGAACAACACTTTGCTAGTGCAGGATCTGCTTCAAAATAACACCTGCCACTGTAGCTTCCCCCTAAAGGTACCTAGAAACACATTTAGAGTAATTTTCAAAAGCAATCTTGGTAACTATTAACACTATTAACACTATTAACACCACCCACTTTCAATCACAATTTTTGTGTATTAAAAACATGAATTAGGAATTCATAAACTTCAAACTACAAAAACCCACGGTGCAAAATAAAAAAAATAATAATAATGATAGAGACTCTGTTCAACCAAGGGAGTCGGCCAAGGCACGGAGATATGTATCCTTGTGGACAGAGCAGCAGTGACAGGACGCCAGGGAGTGCCTGTGTCCTCCACAGCACTAGCTACGGGGCAGGCAGCAGGGGCACTCAGTAATACGTTATCTAATGAGTGGATTCTAACAGCAGCCTTGATTTCCATGTGGGATCAGCCATCATACAACTCCAGGTACCTTCTTCAGCCTTGGTCCCATAAAAGTTCAGGCCAAGACCTTGACACTCACAAAAACCAGAAATTCCATCTTGAACTAATGATATCTACATCTGAAGCAACATCAGCTTACTTACATTTTGAAAAGCTCCTCTTCATCTTCTTCCAGCGTTTTAATTTCTTGCTCGGGAAGAGAAACTATTGGTTCAAACTGGGGATCGTGGTTGGACTCATCTGCATTCTCGGTGGAGGTATCGTGGTCCTCATGGGTGTCCTGTGCAGGAAGGTGTGAAGAGGTGACTACTGGTGGTAAGCCTGGCCTGCAAGCTAGAGCGTGGGCAACCATACTAATGAATGGCCTCACCCCAAAGCAAGAGATTAAGCCCACAGCCTTTAACACTAGGAAAAGTTTGTATGTCCATCCAGCATACAGCGAGACACTGACCTTCAGCACCCTCCCCCAAGATTCATCAATCACATCTGACTGGGGATCCTAAAACTTGTCCACCTACTGGTGGAATGGCCTGGAAGAAACTGCCCCGTCTCTTTAAGCCTGTTTCTTCATCTGTAAAATGTGGAAAATGATACCAAGTGAATGTGCCAAGTGAAAATTAAAGGACACAATGATGGATTAAAAAGGGCCTCAAGACTAGTGTTACCTGTAAAGCAAAAAGCAACCTTAAAAGTTAAGAAAAATCTGTGCTTTGCTTACTACAAGAAAAAAAGTTGGGACTACTAGTTTTATACGAAATTCACAGTTCCATCAACAACTTTACCTTGGTACAAAATTAAGCTGATAAGTCAAATCATACGAATAAGAATCATAAAAATCTGGTCCAATTTAGAGAACTAGAGGGCACAAAGGATCCTATTTTAGGTTTAAGTCTTACAGGACACGTGGTTTGGTGATCTATACAAAACCATAAGAAATCCCAACACTTCACTACCAGACGCAAGCTGAAAAAGAAAAGATAAGCCTTCGCTGTTTTCCTTGGTTGGACAGCACTGCGGCTCCGCCTCAGCCAGCTCACGCGAGCAGACACCCACAGCCAACAAAGCCGCCCCCACCCTGGTTCGGGGGTCCAGGCCCCTTCCATCCCGCTTGAACGTAAGAGCTTCCGCCGCAGAGGCCTGTGGAGGTTCGAGTCTAGGACAAAATGAATGAAGTGCTGCGTAGATCATGGGAGAAAAGGATGCATCGTCTTGGTGGGAAGCTAGCAAGTGGGCCGAGCTGGAGAAAACGAGCTGCCCGCCCTGCGTCCCAGGCGAGCGGTGAAACAAACGCAAGACCAAGGAACTTGGACGGCAGGGCCGCCCCACGTCCTGATAGAGCTCGCACGACCACCCTGGGCCGCCCCAAGGTCACGCGGGCACCCCGCAGCACCTGGGCCCGAGCTCTCGCCCCCAGGTCCCGCGCGCTCCAGCCCCGAAGGCCGCGAGCTCCCACATCGCGCTCCT